GTTCTCTTTCCACCATGAGAGTCTTGGGGTTGAACCCAGGTAGACAGGCTTGGTGGCAACTGTTTTCACCCACTGAGCCATCCTGCAGATGTTTCTCTCCTATGCTTTTACATTTTAATATGACCAGTACTAACTTAAAAGGATATACCTGGACTGCATCTTTTTTCTGTTTCACAATAATGCTCTCAAGGGCTAATGAAAGCAAAGGCAAAATATGTGGCTATGCAGACAACAAAAACATCTTCCTGAATAAAGGGGGAAAATAATGTGCGTATATACTGGGAGATAAAACTGTGTGTATGCTGGAGGATGTATGTTTGTGCTGGCTCGGTTTTGTTAACTTGACACAAACCTAGATCTATCTGGGAAGAGGGAATCTTAATTGAGAAAGTGCCTCCAGAACATCAGCCTGCAGGCAAGTCTGTATGGCATTTTCTTGATTAATGATTGGTGTGGAAGAGTCCAACCCACTGTAGGTGGTGCCATCCCTGGGCAGGTAGTCCTGAGGTGTATCAGAATGCAGGCTGAGCAAGCTGTGAGGAGCAAGCCAGTAAGCAGTACCCCTCCATGGCTTCTGCTCCAATTCTTACCTCCAGGTTCCTGCCCTTACTTCCTTCAGTGATGGACTCTAACATCTAAATGTGAGCCAAATAAACCCTTTCCCACAAGTTGCTTTTGGTCATGGTGTTTTATCACAGCAATAGAAACCCTAAGACAATGGGCATGTGTGCTTGAAGAGGTATGTATACACTAGAAGGCATGTGCGTGCGTGCGTGTGTGTGTGTGTGTGTGTGTGTGTGTGTGTGTGTGTGTGTGTAAGCAGGCATAGGAAGATGTGTATGTCTATGTACATTAGAAGGTGTGTCTGTGTACACTGGAAGATGTGTGTGTGTGTTGGTATGTGTATGAATAAAAAGATGTGTGTATATACAGGAAGATGTTTATGAGTATATAGGAAGGTGTGTGTGTGTGTTGTGTGTGTGTAGGAAGATGTGTGTATTAAGTGCATAGGAAGATGTGTGTGTACTCAGAAAAGTGTTTGTGTGTGTATATACATGGGAAGGTATATTTGTACATAAAAGGTGTGTGTACATAGGAAGATGTGTGTGTCTACATAAGGTGTGTGTGTGTGTGTGTGTGTGTGTGTGTGTGTGTGTGTGTGTATACAGATGTGTGTATACACAGAAAGATGCATGTATAGATAAAAGACGTGTGTGTATGTGTATTCAAAGGAA